TCCTAAAAAAAAGATTTTTCATAAAAGATGTCTGTGGCACTGAGGGGACAGCAGGGTCCCTCTGGGCTGGCTCATTGCTGCTGTTCCTCCCCACAGCACGTGGGCTGTGACCGGGTGCTGGGCTCCGACTCCAAGGAGGACAAGTGCCGGGTGTGTGGAGGAGATGGCAGCTCCTGCGAGACCATCGAGGGCGTCTTCAACCACTCCCTGCCCGAGGGAGGTAGGGAACAAACAGCCTGCTCACCCTCCCGTCCCTCCTCTTCCTCCTCACCTGGCCCTGGGGACAGGCAGGGACAAACCCCAGAGCTGAATCCCAAGGGGTGGCACCAGGCAGCAAATCCCTCCTGTCCACCAGCCAAGCCCTGCTGTGAAATAGGAGCCTCCTTGAACTTTTGGAGATCTATTTCATGCCTAGGATAGCTCAGCTACTTTAGAAGGCATAAAATCAACAGGATTTGTGGTAGTGTTGGAAACAAAAAGTGTTGGTTTAGAAGGTGGTGGCTGTTACCTGTTCCCTGAAATATGGGATATCCCTGAAAAATAGCTCAGCTACCTTAGAAGGTACAAAATCAGCAGGATGGCTTCTGTGGTAGTGTTGGAAACAAAAAATGTTGGTTTAGAGAGTGGTGGCTGTTACCTGTTCCCTGAAATATGGGATATCTCTGAAATATCTCCTCAAGCCAGGTCTCATAAGCTCTTGGAGATTTATTTCACACCTAAGATAGCTCAGCTACCTTAGAAGGCATAAAATCAAGAGGCTTCTGTGGCAGTGTTGGGATAAAAAAGGTTTTAATTAAAGGCAAAATAACAAAACTCTTTGCAGAGAAAAAACCCAGCCAGGTGCAAGAGGTTCTTGCTCTGGTAAAACACCTCACAAAAGCCAATAACTTCTTTATTCTCTTCTTTTTGTAGTAAATTGCCCAGGCAGGACTTTTTGGTTCCTGTGCAATTAGCTATCCTTAAATTTGAGGTGAAGTTCCCCAGGTCCTATGAGATGCCTTTCCAATCCAGGAGAGAAATTTCTGGGTTTATTTCCCTTTTAAGGGGACAAAGGAGAGTTTTGTCACTCCATCAACAAGGGGCACATTCCTATAGTGCCCCAGCCTCCAGTGGTGCCCAAATCTCTGACACAGAGCTCCAAGCCCCTTCCCTGCTCCCCAGGGTTGATCCCAGCTCCACAGCACATTCCCAGTCCCACCACAAGAGCCCCCAGTACAAACCCACTCCATTTTGGTGCCCCACATGCTTTTTCCATCATTTCCCCATGAATAAGGGAGTTGGCTCACACTCCCATCCAGCCCAGGGCAGCTCTGGCTCTGGGACTGGAGGCTGAAAATGCTGCTCCCCTGCTTGTCTCACAGGTTATGAGGAGGTGATCCAGATCCCCAAGGGTTCTGTGCACATCGACATCCGGGAGCTGAACCTCTCCATCAACTACCTGGGTGAGCTGGGGCTGCTGAAATCCCACCCAGGCCCTGCCATGTCCCTGGGATTAGCAGGGAAATGCAGGGAGAACTTCCCACTGCACCTGGAATGGGGATTTGGGGGTGCCAGGCTGGGATTTGGGGCAGGGGAAGGCATCAGGGCTGTGTGTCCCCCAGTGTCCTTGTCCTGTGTTAGCATCACAACCCTGAGCAAACACCATATCCCTCAGCTCCTGCCATCCTGGGGATTAAAAACACATTTTCCTCGGGCTTGGTTTTCCAGCCTTGCTCAGTCCTGCTTTCACCACGAGGATTTTCTTTCCCTTTTTTTCGTCCCTGTCCCCTGAGCAATGCAGAGCAGGGCAGGCTGCTCTCCCTGGATGCTGCCGGGTACCAGCAGGACTCTCCTGGCAATGGAGGTGCCTCCATCCCTCCCTGCCCGATGTGTGGGACTCCTTTCTGCATTTCTGCGCTCTCAGGACAGTGTCTGACACTCGGGCATCCCTGCGGGCATCCCCGATGGAGGGAGCATCCTCCAGCCCCGCAGCATCCCCCGCGCCCCGAGCAGGGCAGCGGCGCCCGGAGCTCGGTGGAGGTTTAGGAGGGAAGGCAGAAACAGGAGCGAACGCTCCGATCCCCCTCTAGCGACTCTGCCGGGCAACCACAGCCCTGCTCCGGGCCCCAGCAGCCCCAGCATCGGCTGTGGGCTATGTACAAATCACCAACAGGATGGGACTGCTGGAA